AAGCCACACATAGAGATATGGACACAAGTCTTCAGGAAATAACAGGTCTTTTATTTACACAACGATCGGGTCTCAGATGAACTCCTGTTCCAAAAATATCTGAGAGGCAGAAAGCATGGTTCAAAGGCCTTTTGTTAGCAGCATATCCCCTCCCATACAGTATAACCCCTCCTATATTCCTCAGACCAATCAGCATACAGGATATTCAGGATCACCTTATATGGACAGACCACATGGCTTGTTAAAGACAAAGGAATGTACTATCCACTTCCACACATGCTCAGTATACTGATGACTCATCCAACTGTTTGTAATCAGATACTAATTAGCAAATGTCATGTGGAAATTTTGGCCTACTAAATTTTGAACATGCTGGAATCCCATCTCAGGTCTTCTGCCTCAGCAGGGCAGCCTGAAGTGACAGGCCTGGTCGCAGCTGTGAGCTCTGCAACTGTGGTAGTTACGCCACTGCCTGCATGTAAATGCGCACATTGCATAGAAACACACAACTGCATTCAAACACCAATACTACACACATATGCAACCTTACATTTAAACGTCAACACTACACACAAATACACCACTGCATTTAACCCTTTAAGGACGACGGGCATTCCGTGGCGTCCTTTTTAAGGCGATCCTAAATGCAGGCGGGCGGCATAGAACGTTCCCGCCGTTTCCCCGACAGCAGTCACGATCCTGGGATCTGCCTTGGAACTCAGGCAGACCCTGTCTGCCTGATCCAGCCTCCCCACCCGGCCATGTGATTGCGGGGTCGTCGTGATCACATGGCCGGAATAGCCAGCTTATGCAGTGCCTGCAGGGGGACTGCATGAGCTCTCAGGCTGTCCCCCTCATGCCTGTAAAAAAGTTTGTTTAAGTTAATAAACATTATAAAACAGTGTTTAAATTAAATAAAAAGTACTTAGATCATATATTATTATTATTTTATTATTTATATAGCGCCAGCAAATGTACAATTTATATATATATATATGATCTAAGTACTTTTATATACACATACATACATCATTAATAAAAGTGTATTTTAATATATAAATAAATATATTTATATATATATTAATATTAAAATACACTTAGAATTCCTGATGTAGCTCAACACACACATATATGCCAGGGCACACTCCACTCACCTTGATTTTACCACTCAGCGCATATATGATATCTCATGTACTAAGTAGGGAACAATCTTGCTTGTAATCAGACACATATTAGACCCTCCTGATACTTAGCTTAGAATAAACCTGTTTTAAAAAAAAAAAAAATGTGCAATGTTTCTCTCCTGTAACGCATGTATACTACACTTAACTAAATTGTCAATGTACAACGTTTGACTTAAGAAATGCACGGAAAAATAAAGAATTAAAAAAAAAAAATACACTTAGAATGACGTTAATATAAAATTATAATTATATATATATATAAAAAATAAAAATAATCAATAAATAAATTGAAAAAAATAAAAAAAATATATATACCAGTTTTAATTTATTCTAAATGTATTTTGATATTAACATACATATCTATATTAAATTAAAAATATATTTAGAATGACGTTATAAATACATATATGTATCTATATATGTATCTATCTATCTATCTATCTATCTATCTATCTATCTACTAGAACAAATCATTCCTGGACGCAGAGAGAACCTAGACCTGCTTGAATACTACTACAACAGCAGACCCAATGAGAGAGGCTACATGAAACGTATGTGGGAGCTATGAATAAATAAGAGACCATTATCTACTCTAACACCAAAACATCTGGTTACACAATGTTTGAACATCTTCAAGAGAAATCTAGTGTCACAACTGGAAATAAATGGACTACAGAATAAATCAACCATACACCATGAGGAGGAAGAAATTCCCATACCCACATTCTTACCTGCAGAGAATTGTCAACCTGAATCCATACCGCAAGATGGCATAACAAAAGATACAAGGGAAATGATCCTAGAAAAACTAGCAGTCGTTAACCTGCGGACAAGACAACCGAAGATAACTGGAAAGCAACCACCAGACAGCATACTAGCTGCAGTTAATGAAGCATTGTCCACAATCCCATCCTGCACCATCACAGAAATGCACAGGCTCATGTATGCTACTGCATTAGTGGTCCTCCAGCTCAAAGAGAAGCTATGCCCACCATGGAGACTACGACTGGAAGCCAAGATAAAGACAGCACAGAAGAAAGTTAGTAAGCTGGACCAGCTTAACAGAGGTGGAAAGATCAAATATAGATCCTGGCTGCTGCGAAAGTACAAGGATATTCCCATACCAGAGGCGCTGGAAATAGCTAAGCAAAGACTGACAGCACTGGTAACCAGACTGAGCAGATACACCAGAGAAGCAATGCCCTCTTTACCAAAGAACCATCCAAGGTGTATGCACAGCTACAGGGTAACCACCACATCTCCTCGTTAAAAAAAAAAAACCTTTTATCACTTACCTGATTCCAGCACTGATGTCCCTCGGCTCTGGGTCAGGCTCCGCCTCTGCTACTCTTTTGCCAATGTCAGCCGACGGGGGTGGGGGGCCTATTGCGCATGTGAGGTGTGCACCACAAGCGCATTAGGACTTTCTTATTGACTCAGTGCTTTCCTATTGTGTTTTAGCTGACACTGGATGTCCCCATGCAGAGAATAAACTCCGCTAAGGACCCCAAAGCACTTCTGGTGGCTGTCTGGTAGACAGCCACTAGAGGTGGTGTTAACCCTGCAAGGTAATTATTTCAGTTTCTCAACAACTGCAATAATTACAATTGCAAGATTAATAGGGGACACTGCACCTAGACCACTTCAATGAGATGACGTTGTCTGGGTCCCTTTAAACTGATGTGTGACTTCATAGACTTTACTCACTACTCCATGATAGTTTTGCGCCCAACGCTGTCACATTCCTCTCAACATTAAGAGGTATAAAATAGAGACAGGTTAAGCTGTCCTGTGGGAGTGTGCTATTGATGCCAAGGGGTGGTTTGGCCTCGAAATGGAAGAGCTTCACTCAAAGAAGGAAGTGCACACTACATAAACCTACAGTTTGTCTTGCCTGGCCCTTTTAGGGCAGCACATGCGCAAAGCACTTTTGAAGCACTGTCAGCATGGAGTTAAGGCTCTGACATATTTTGCATAGTGTGAAGACCTCTTTGGTGCACTCACACTTTGCTGATTGTTTAATTAGCTCAGGATGGCAAGACAAGCTCAAATTCGGCACATGCCTGCTGGGCTTTGCTGCATAGATTGAGCAATAATCAGTTTGAGCCTCTTTCTCTGACATCATGGAGACCAACATTTTTATATAGAATGGGTAAAGAGGATAGCATGCCCCCCAGCTGTGCCAAATCCATCAGCACTGTCTTGATTTCCTTACCTGGTGTTTGTGTGGGGATGCCCATTTTGGCCATCACCAGTGATGCAAGCGTCAGTATGTCCCTTTAGATATGCCCATCTCCTGTCCCGATTTTATAACTCCTACTGTTGGGAGGTACGGGATACTTATAGAATTGCTATTTGCTGAGCTATTTTCAAGCATGCCCCTTTTTTTTTATATATTTAATTTTTTATTTTTGGGTTGCATGAAAATACAATACATGAGCTCGTCATACCTCAATAACATTGACGAGACGTAATTTACAACAACATTATGTTAACATGTATGAGGAAGAACAGAAAAGAAAACAGCATAGTTTTATGGTTCAACATATGTAGCTTAGGTGTTCCTGTCTGGTCGGTAGTACGTTAAATGCTTGCCTGGTAGGAACCTTTTTTTTTTCGTAGGTTTTATATTATTATGATTTATTATTTCCTTTATTTAAAGGAACACTCAAGGGCTAGAGAAAATAAATGTATTTCTAATGCTGTAATGTTGCGAAGTATATTAAGGTTTTGGGCCCCACCATAAATAAAGACATAACCAATAATCTAGCAGTGAGATCACTTTCTCACCACTCCTCTGCATCTACCCTGGGAGGGCCAATGCCACGCTTCGCATAGAGATTAATTGGGATCCTACGTGAGCAGCAATCGCCATGCCACTCCGGTAAAATGCTTCTCACAGACAAGCATTAAATCCAACCAAGAAGCCCTCACTTATGCTTTGTGCGAGTACTTAAAGTGAGTGAAGAGCATCCCCCAGCTGTCTGGCAACCATAAAGGTGCAACTTAGGACCTTTATAAAACTGTGATTTCTCTTCAAATTGTTACTTTTATAAAATATGACTAAGAGGAAGCTATTTTACATGTAAAACACTTCACCAAGCTGAAATGCCTTAGGGGTTTCATGTTTACTGTTAACTAATATGTGTGAGGTCTCTATTCCCCTTTATCTCTTTGTAACTGAGGACATCCATATTGGTTCCCTGTCAGTTCTTGTCATTATAAATTTCTACATTTTGCACCTGACAGTATGCATAAAGAGATCATAGAGTTAACAGGAGAAACAGAAACGGGGAAGATTTTATGATCTGAATAGTGGTGCTAAGCTCTAAAAGCAGGGCAATCACTGTGGAAACCAACAGGAATATTGGTGCTAACCATAATTTATAGCTTTGTACCACTTTTCAGTACAAGGCTGATAAATCAACATTTCAGGGTTACCCACTAAACACAAATTTTTGCAAGTGAAATCCAAATGGCAGAGCTGAGGCAAAAATAGCTGATCTGGAAAAATCTCCAATGCTGCCATAGTCACAACAATTACTTATGACTCAATTTTGCCATTTAGATTTTATTTTAGTGAAATTCTCTGTCTGAAGTAGCTGAGGCAGCGTGCAGACCACAGGTAAGAATTAAAGCTATACTTAAATGGTTTGGCTGTAAATATTTTATATAAAATGTGTATAGCATTTTTTTTTTTTTTTATGTATTATACGCTTTAATCCAAAGTAGAAAAACATATTTCCTTTTTAAGAACTGTCCACTTTACGTGTTATCCACGTATGTGTTTTAGACTATATAGAATAAATCAAGTGTAAGGCTCTAAAAAAAGAATTAAAGAAGGGCTTGGAAGGCTAAGAAAATAGATGATAGTTTTTGTGTGTTCCATATGGACAATGTAGAGCAAGAGGTAAAAGCATGGACAGATTTCATCCCCTGGAGGCAGATGTATGTATGAACTGTATCGTATTCCATTTACTAACGCAGTATGGCAGGCAGGCAGGAATTGGGACTTGAAACTGAACATCTGCTTGTATCTCCAAATTATCCCAAAACCTTAGGCTGCATTAATATAAAGGAATGTGATATATCTTGGTTTGACAATAAAGTATGATTACATCTAAAACAACTCCTTCTGCTTCTATATCATCGAGGCAATTAGCTTTTGTTATGCCGGTCATTTTTATTATTTGAGATAACTGAAACACATTTGAATAACTCACTGCTGGACTCATCCATTGGACAAAAATCTTGTGATTTAGAAACAGTTTCTAATGAAAGCCGATTTGTGAAGATAGTATAAAACATATTTTAGAAGCCGATGAGATTATGCAGTGCAACAATGCAGAGAGACAGAACTTAGACAGAGCTCTCTGGGCTCTGCTGCTGGTTTTCTTTTCAAATAATTTTTATTAAAGTTTTTTTTTGTATAACAAATGATAATAATACAAACATTGTATTAGGGGTAGGAAAGGAGGGGTAACATGGAAATGGGAAGGGGTATCCATCCATCAATGAAATAAACATATTAAAGTATACGGCAAAAAGAAAAATGTTTTACAACAATGCACTTTAACAATAAATATATCAAAGACCATAAATTGTTTTGATTTTTTCTTCCCATTTATCCCAGTTGTATTTTAGTATTGGGAAACCATGCATATTGGCTCTGTGTGATAATTCATGTGCCTTATTTTCTAAAATCAAATTAAAAACTTCTCTGAGAGATGGCACATTTTGAGACTTCCAATGTCTAGGTAAACAGGATGTAGCAGCGATCAGAATGTGGCCTATGATTATTTTATCTGATCTATTAATGGACTCCGGGAGTTTTTTAAATAAGGCTAGTTCCGAGGTTAAGATACTAATGGTTCCGTTCACTTTAATAATCAGATCGTGGATCATTTTCCAATAATTAATTAACTTGGGGCAGAACCACCAGATATGGGCCATATTGCCCACTCCCCCACAGTCTCTCCAACACCGGTCAGAATACATATTGTTCATGTTATGTAATCTAGACGGAGCCAGGTACCAGCGATATAAGATTTTATAATGATTTTCAAAATGGTCGGTGCAATACGAAATACCTTTTAAACCTGTAAAGAAACTGAACCATTCTTCTAAATCGTACTGGGCACCCAACTCCGTCTCCCATGACAGCATATGTTTTAATTTAATTAAGGGCTTGGCATTATGAGATAAGTAACATAAGGATATCATACCTTTACTAGCGGGGCTGTATAAAATAACTTTCTCTAAAGGAGATATCTCAAGTGATTTATAATTTTTATCTGTTTCAGGTACCTGGTATAGTTCTTTCAATTTATCAATGATTATCATACATTCCAGTTCACATGCATTCGACAATCCATACTTAAGCTTCAATTTTTCCAAAGAAAGAATAGCATTGCCATAAAAAAAATTGTCCAGATTAGTTATAGAGCAATCCTTCAATAATTCTATTTTTAAGGATGGTATATGATCTTTCAATAATTCAATAGGCATTGCTCTATATAAACTGGGAGACTGGTCATTTTTAAAAACAATGTCCCAGGCCTTAAGTGTAGTCCTGGTGGATAAAAATAATTTTGTAATTCCAGGTCTTTTCTTAGAATTTAACCAAGGTAGTTCTGATAGTCTAACCGGTGAAATTTTTGATTCCTCTATCTCCATCCATCTGGGTTTATCATCCTGGTTGTTAAAGCTCACAACCACTGCAGCGTTAGTGGCAAAATAATATTTGCGGATATCGGGGACACCGATACCGCTGTTCGATTTATGGTGCTGCAGGGAAGTGAGCCTCACTTGGGCAGGCTTGTTCCCCCATATAAATTTCAACATTGTCGAATGAACTTTATTAAAAAATGATAATGGAATGGACAGAGGAATGGTCCTAAAAAAATATAAAATTTTGGGGAGTATCGTCATTTTAATAGATGCGACCCTCCCCAGCCATGAGAGCTCCATCCCACCCCATCTCTCCATCTCTTTTTGTAGGTCTGACCATGCTTTCCTCAGGTTGTGATTGTGCATATTGACCAAATTTTTGCATAAATTAATGCCAAGATATTCCATATATTCAGTTCTCCAATCAAATAAATATGATTTCTTAAGGGCAATGGTTTCCAAATTGTTTAAATGAAACGGAAGGGCTTGAGTTTTGGACTCATTTAATTTGTAATACGATATCTCACCGAATTGAGTTAAAATATCCTTGAGGTGTCTCAAAGATTCTTTTGGGTTTTTGATAGCTAGGATTATATCATCTGCAAACAAACCAATTTTGTGAACGGATTCTTTAACCGCAATTCCTACAATTTGTGGGGTTGTCCTAATCAGTTCTGCCAGGGGTTCTATCGCTAAAACAAACAAAATTGGAGATAAAGGGCACCCCTGTCTCGTCCCGTTGGTTAGGGAAAAAGTTTTGGATGTGCTGCTGGTTTTCTGATTGCCAGTATTTATTTATTTTTTTACTGGGGTCTCTCACTGATATTATATTTCCCCACTCTCTTCCCAATCCCTTATGCATACTTCTTAAATGAACACTATAGGGTCAGAACACAAACATCTATTCCTGACCCTATAGTGTTAACACCACCATTTAGGTGGCTTCCCTCCCCCCCTTTAGCCACCGTAAAAGAATTAAAACTTACCTTATTTCCAGCGATGCGCAGGTCTGCCAGCGCTGGCCTCACCCCCCATCTGCCTCATTGATGACATGCGGGCCAAATGCCGTTTTGGCCAATTAGCACCTCCTCATAGAGATGCATTGAATCAATGCATCTCTATAAGGAAAATTCAGCGTCTCTATGAAGAGCGTGGAGACGGTGAACGGTGGTGCTACCTACTGTGAAGCACTGCCCTAGGGAGCACCTCCAGTGGCCATCTGAGGAGTTGCCACTTGGAGGTGTCCCTAAGGGGCAATATAAACACTGCCTTGTCTCTGAAAAGGCAGTGTTTGCATGAAAATGCCTGAAGGCAATGATTATATTCACCAGAACAACTACATTAAGCTGTAGTTATTATAGAACAACTACATTAAGCTCCTCAGATGGCCACTGGAGGTGCTTCCTGGCTCAGTGCTGCACAGTAGGCAGCTCTGCCATTCAGCGTCTCCACGCTCTGCATGGGGACGCTGAATTTTCCTCATAGAGATGCATTGATGCATTGGCTAATTGGCCAAAACAGAGTTTAGCCCCGTCCCTTGCTGATTTTAGCCAATCCAATGCTTTCCCTATGGTACAGCATTGGATTAGCTAAAATTTAGTCATTCTGATGATGTCATCAAGGGGGCAGGTCCAGAGCCGGCAGATCCGCACGGGGCTGGAAATAAGGTGAGTTTTTCATGCTTTTAAGGAGGGTGGGGCGGGGGGGGGAAATTAATGGTGAATTTTGCACTATAGGTTATACATACATGTTTGTGTTCCTGACCCTATAGTGTTCCCTTAAATTACTTTGTTTTTGTTTAAACAGCCCTAGACACCTCCCCTGGCTATAACTCACACAGGCTGCTTGAAAAAAAAATGGTTTCATTTTCAATTAGATGTTATCATTTTATCTCCTGCTCTGTAACTTGAACTTTAATTACATACAGGAGGTTCCTTCATGGTCTAGGAGGCTATAAAACATTCCAAATTAATTAGAATGTGCAATAAAGGAAGTGTTTAGGAAAGCAGTGTAGGTCACATGCAGGCAGGTTTGACTAGGGCTGCATAAAAAAGAACCGAGCAGTTTGACTGCAGGGACATGATCTATACACAAAAACTGCTTCATTAAGCTAAGGTTGTTTTGGTGACAATATGGTCCCTTTAACAAATACAAAATATCTAATATATTATGGACATCTATTACTCATTCAGCATTTGTGAGAATTTAAAACATCACATTAAAGCAGCTCTACCACCTTCTGAGGTCTTTGCATATTCTACAAAGGTGCAGGGTGCATGGGAAAATAGTAACCTGAACCTGTCCCTCGTAGGCGTTGCCATCCTCTTCTTCAAGGTTGATCTGCCAAGAGGACAATAGTGCTGTACTCTTGTGTCATGCCAAAAGCATGAGTTGGTGTTTGATGTGTGTTGAGATATGTTGAAAGTTGTTTTTTTGTAAACCTTGGGATGACGTTTATTGTGGTCTTTGATCTGGCACCAGGCTTAGACCATAAAACATCTAGATAGCCATCACCAGAGCTGGACACAAGGAATTGCATAGAGTGGGCAATAAACTGCCAGACCAACCCCCTCTGAACCCCCACCCTCCCCCCCCAGGGGTCTGCCCACCTAGAAACAACTAAGTTTGATATATAATGAGGGTGCTGGACTATCCAGGCAGTTGAGTTATTCATTTTTCTTTTGTCAGCAACTTCTAGGAGACCTATACCATCTAAGACTCCCACAAGAATTCTATATGGCGTAACTACATGTAAGGAATTTCTTGTGTTTTCTCCTATTTTATTTTATGTACTGTTTTGCAATTTGTTATCTGTATGTCATTTATTTCTGTATTTTGTACTCAGCACTGTGAATCCTTTTTGTCAGATTAAATGTTTACTTAATCAGCTTGTGTCTCTGTTCTCTATGAGCTTCACTCTCCAGAGGAAAGCTCAGGTAAACACGTTACCAAAAAGGGTTAACTATATATGTTTTATCAGTAAAAGTAGAACTGTGATACTATAATTCTCCTGTGTGTGGGGTAACCTAAGACGCCCGGGTTTAAAAGTCTTGGTGGTGGCAGTAAAGTGTGTACTAAGGGGGTTAGTGTAGAAGGGATTGCAGGGGTTAATTGAGTGGTTGCTGGGACTAGCAACAGGTAACCAGGGGTCTGGTGTCATTAACCCTGTCACTTCCATACTCTCCCCACTGTCTCGGCTGGGTCTATAGCCCATGCACGTGACATCTTGCGCATGCATGACAGTTCAACACTTATGTCTATGGAAGATCCTATATACTACTCCATGGAAAGAGCCTTTTTTGCCTCCAGTGATGGCTAAGGACCTGACAAAAGCTAGCTCTGCCTTTTGTCAAATGTTGGAGAATTACATAAAACACAATAGTCTCTAATTTGCCTTATATCATTTGACTAGCTTGGAATTTCAGTGAAATGAATACAATGTACTTCTCCTAATATGTTGCTGGCATCAAGCAAAATCAAGAGCACATTCCTTTGAGTTTCACTTGAGATGCATGTTAAACAATGAATGTCACATGTACAATTAGAAAACAAAAGATTTGTGCCACTTGATGTTAGTATCTGCTGCACTCTGCTCAGTACGAGCCTTACTCTGGTTTAGAAAAGCTTGTAATTTTTACCACAGGCTGCAGTGCCAACCAATAGCAGTTATCTAAGACTGTTGATGCAACTGGCGGAAATCCAAGTGAAATGCCAGCAACAGGCAGGGAGACCTAAACCTGTTGAGGCAGTTTTCTTCCTGTGGATGGGAAATTGGGACGACAGCCATTACAAAAAATAAGGGGGGTGGAGAGAGATGCAAGTTATGTGTGCAAAATGAGTCCATAGGCTGCATCCACGATTGGAGATCAGTGCTGTAGTCATGATAGCTAGACGTTGTTGGGATGTGATGCGATGCTGATCTTGGTCAGAGCAAGCCTCGGGCTGCAGTGTTTGGAATAGTGCCTTTTCATATTATCTGTATGGCTACTGTGTTTGATGTTCAACCTGGACAGACAGGCCTGGCAGGCAGAAACTGCTCAGGCAGATGATGTCAGGGAAGACAAAAATTATCTAGTGCAAGTCTAAGAAGACAGATGACACCCAGCAGGAACAGCAAGCCAAATCCGTGGAATCCACAATACAGCTGGCTAGCCCCAGGGGGCCTGCCTCTTTGAAGTGCAGTAGGCATCACCAATGAGCTGTCAAATTAGCTTATATGACTGGAAATGCTGTAGAGATTTAGTTCCCGATATAAAATGAGAGGAGGTTAATAGATAAAGATTAAATCCTAAACGGCTATGGTGAATCCTTTAAACAATAAAATTCAACGCACAAATGCCAGTTTCTTCCACACCTAAAATATTTAGCAATAACCATGTAAAGTTGCATAGAGTCTAAGCCTGCAGGACAATGAGCCGAGCAACAAGTAATGTTCCCAGAGACAGACTTAATCTAATCTGCTTTACAGTTTTGTAGAACCCTAGAGCTCGAGTTTAATTGCAATGGGCTAGTGTAATAAATCTATGTTGTGAGTCAGGAATAAGAGGTTATCTGTCTATCCAAAGGCTTAGTACAATACACAGATATACGATCCCATTTTAGCCCCACTGCTCCTGCTATAAAACTTACACTGTTCTTCAGGCACAGGGTAATTCAACTCCAATAAATCAAAAATAAAATTAAGAATGGCAAATATATTGTCATATTTTTACGTAACGCAAAAGGCTTGAAAATGTAGATCTGTTGTAATAAATAGCAGACAGATTGTCAAATAATGCAAGTGTTTGGAAAAAATACTGGTCGTAGGGGACAAAAGTTAAGCCACAAACTTCTATACAAAGCTCACAGGAAATATACATGCCTTCAAGTATGAAAGGCAAGAAAAATTAAAAGTGGTTGGATCATAAGCAAAACCAGTAGCTACATTTCTTTGTGAGATATTTTAGTCTGCAATTTCATCTCTTAAAGCCAAATGATATGCCAGTAACGTAAAGCGTATCTGCCACTTTTGGGGTATTTGCATATTTTGTGCCATCCCTGTTTGGGTCCGGTGACCGTAGGGCACAATCAAAGGAAGATTCTACTTACCTGAAATGGTTCCTTGCAGGTACCGCCGTCTTCATCCAAGGGACCATCTTCATCTGTCAGACAGTTAGAGTATAACGCTGAGGTGTATGGAGATTACCAAAGGAACTCAGACCATTTCAGCTCATTGAAGTGATTTGGGTGCAATGTCCCTGTCCCCCTTAGTTCTGCAATATAAATCTTCGCAGTTTTAGAGAAACTGCAATAATTACATTGCAGGATTAAGACTGCCTCTAGTGACTGTCAGACAGCCACTAGAGTTACTTCCTGCTTGCTAGGCGACTTTTGGTCGCCTGACGCTGGATGTCCTCATGAACAAATGAACAACGGTAGGAACTAGGAAATAAGTCCTTCTGATCAAAATTGTTCATGCTATTTGAATCCCAAATAGCTTGTCAAGAACTGCTTACCATATTGTTTTGTTTTGTGCAGTGTTTTAAACCAGGTTACACAGTGTTTCTGTTCAACTTTATAAATACTATTTGTTTCTGCAAAATAAGTTATTTGTACATTGCAGTGAAACATGTAGATAAGTAGGAATGCACACAAATGGAATGATGGTTCTTAAAGTGCAAATAAGGTAAAAATACAACCTTTCAGTATGATAGCGTATTTAGCAGTATCTATAAGAAATATATAAACCGCACGTAGTGTGATAAAAGCATATATACAAAGACACGCAAGGAAAATGAGGAAAACTTAATATAAGTGAATATCAGGCACATCATCCCAATCTGGAGAAAAGCTTCAGAGCAATATGGAAGGAGATCTACTTTGGCACTTAATAATGGAAAGAAAACCAGATAATAGTGCAGATATCACTTGGTAAAAAAAAAGATTTATTACAATTGCACTTACAAAATTCCAGTTAAAAACAGCATATATCCACTAGCGAGTGGAACACATGTATACAGCACTGTAAGTCCCAAACTGTCAATCCGATGTGTTTCGTCCACAGGACTTCGTCAGGGATGTGATGAAATTGTTCCTTAGCCTCTTCGTTTAACCCCTTAAGGACCAAACTTCTGGAATAAAATGGAATCATGACATGTCACACATGTCATGTGTCCTTAAGGGGTTAAATAAATCGCCGAAATGGAGTTCACCTGTGTTCTGTATGCGTCGCGTGCGCGTCATGTTGGGACGCATCCAGTCTTTCGGCATCACTTCCGGTTCCGGTTACACTGATTTCCTCCATGCGTTCCAAGCTGGAATGCAGCTGCAGACTAGACGATCAGAGTTTTACTGATACGGCTGGGGAACAGGAAATACCATATACAGACCAAAAGAAAGTGTCCAACCATGATGGGACATAAAGGAGCTTATCTATAAGCTTTTGTAAAGCTAAACAAGGTATTTATACAAAAACATTTTATACGATCTGCAAAAAAATAGAATGGAAATCCACCTATATCATGGCCACTGTAGATGTATCTTCTTTATAAACGAGCATCCCTCATCATAAGGGAATAGAAGCAAAGATATTTTGGTCTCAAAACAAAAATTAAATATATATCAAATAGACTTCTTGATTGAATGCATTAATTTTATACTAACCAGGAACTATTTTTGGTTCGATTCCACTTTTTTCCTGCAGCTATGTGGCGTCGCCATGGGGACAAGATTCGCCCCGAGCTTTGCCAACCTCTACGTGTCTCATTGAGAAAGCCACAACTATCACTGTGAGTGAGGCGGCCGGTCTCGTCCTATGGCGACGCTACATAGATGATGTTTTAATTATATGGGAAGGACAGACAGAAGAACTGGTATCCTTTATAGACAGTATTAATTGTAATGATTATAACTTACACTTCACATCAGTTATACATCCCACTAAAATTGACTTTCTGGACCTCACCCTCTATGTTGAGGAAGGACAATTAAAAAGCAAAACTTTCTTTAAGAGCATGGACTGTAACACAGCTATTAACAAGTCCAGTCTACATTATAGTCCATGGCTCTCGAATGTCCCAAGAGGACAGATGATGCGTCTAAGACGCAACTTCACCGATTTACAAACATTTGAAGAACTAAACACCATTACAAAAAAGAGATATGAGGAAAAAGGTTATGACGTAGACAAAATTAATGCAGATGAGGAACAGATAAAAAAATCTAAACGGACAATCTCTATTAATCAAGCAGAACATTGAATCCAAGAACAGGGATAATAAGAAATTTGAATATGCTTTTGTCACGAAGTTTAATTCTCTGGCCAAAAAGATAGAAAGCATCTTGAAAAAACATTGGCACATATTAAAAAAAGATGACATATTGGGAAAAGTCATCCCGGAACTACCCATAGTTATATATAAAAAGGCAGAGAATTTAAAAAAACAATTAGCTCCTAGTTTACTCCGTGATAAAAACATTCATACAAATTTTTTCTATTTAACAGGTTTTTATAGCTGTGGCAAGTGTTCTACTTGCAAATTTCAAAAAAGAGCTACACATGACTTCCTAGGTACATACACTAATAAGAAATATGAAATTAAAGGGAAACTCCAATGCCAGGAAAACAATCCGTTTTCCTGGCACTGCAGGTCCCCTCTCCCTCCCACCTCCCAATCCCCAGTTGCTGAAGGGGTTAAAACCCCTTCAGTAACTTACCAGAGGCAGCGATGATGTCCTATGTCGCTGCTTCTTCCTCCGCTCCTCCTCTGTATTACGTTGGCCGGTGGGCAAGACTGATCCTGCCCACCGGCCGGGGAGACCTAATGCGCATGCACGGCAATGTGAAATGAGCGACGCTGGAGGTCCTCACACAGCGTGAGGACGTCCAGCGACGCTCTAGCACAGGTTTCCTGTGCTAGGGACACGGAAATGCCCTCTAGAGGTGGAGTTAACCCTGCAAGGTAATTATTGCAGTTTATAAAAAACTAAAAAACTAATATTGACAGTTTGGGACTTACAGTGCTGTTTACCTGTGTTCCACTCGCTAGTGGATATATGCTGTTTTTAACTGGATTTTTGTAAGTGCAATTGTAATAAATCTTTTTTTGTACCAAGTGATATCTGCACTATTATCTGGTTCTCTTTCCATTATTAAGTGCCAAAGAAGATCTCCTTCCATATTGTTCTGAAGCTTTTCTCCAGATTGGGATGATGTACCTGATATTTACTTACATTTTTTAAGTTTTCTTGTCTTTGTATATACGCTTTTATCACACTATGTGCGGTTTATATATTTCTAATAGGTACTGCTAAATACGCTATTATACTGAAAGGTTGTATTTTTACCTTATTTGCACTTTAAGAACCATGATTCCATTTTTGTGCATTCCTACTTATCTACATGTTTCACGGTTTTTGTTTGGTGTTTTAGAGGGCACACTGTTTAGTAGGTTTGCCTCTATATGTGCTTTTAGTGGCTGGTGTTCGCTTGTCTTATTTATACATTGCAATCTAAATCAGGAGCACCGACTTGCCCTCATCAGCAAATAATGATCTGTGGGTAAATTGTTTTCTCCCGAATACACTTTTGCCATTATGTATATAAAAAAAAAAAAAAAAAATTTTTAAAAAAGCAACCAACCTCCTCCTTTGATAATATTGTAAAGCGCTACGGACTATCCTGGCGCTATATAAATACCAGCAATAATAATAATTATAATAACAAAATGTAAAGGACAAATAAAGTTTAGCAAGATTTGAATAAGGGATTAAAATGGAGATTTTCAAGTTAAGTGTTACAGCTATGAAGACTGACTGTAAAGGTTGCCCACATTAACGGACCACTATAGGCACCCAGACCACTTCAGCTTAATGAGGTGGTCTGGGTGCCTGGTCCATCTAGGGTTAACCCTTTTTTCTATAAACATAGTTTCAGAGAAACTGCTATGTTTATGTTAGGGTTAATGCAGCCTCTAGTGGCTGTCTCATTGACAGCCGCTAGAGGGCTTCCGCGTTTTTCACAGTGAGAAGACACCAGCGTCCATAGGAAAGCATTGTGACACTGGAGAAAGAGGTAAGTTTAACCCCATCCTCTCCTCAGAGCCCGGCGGGAGGGGGACCCTGAGGGTGGGGGCACCCCCAGTGAACTATTGTGCAAGGAAAACGAGTATGTTTTCCTGGCACTATAGTGGTCCTTTAAGAATTTTAGTACAAACACAATAAATAAATAGTAGCAAGGAATCAAGTCTCAAAATCACATTTAGACAGTAATTTATTTTCAGAGCTCCATTGCGAGATATTGCATTCTTTGTAGTTTAAGGGCAGAGGTGAATTATATGTGGTCACTAGAACTAAATTGTATTACTTCAATTTGTTGGCACAAGGCAGTAAAACAAATTAAGAAGATGTAGCATATAAAAAAGACCAAACTTCAAAATATGTGGCCATTTTTTCTTGCTTAACATCAGTTTAAAAACACAGATTTACCAAGCATGGATATGACAAATATATACTTTGACCCTTCAGTATCTAGAACAAATTTAAATAAATAAAAAAGTTTGAGCTTGATTTGCAGTCTGAACCTTTCACATGTACATTTCAGGAGCTGCAACAATCATAAGGAGCATACAAACACATCTGACATGAAATGAAGCAAAGTGACAAAATATTTCCTGAAAAGAACACTATTCGGGCAGCATGTCGATGCACACATTCCACAGGTCTGTCCACCTAATGAAGGTTTGTGTAGATTCTGTTCTTAATGAAGACCAGGCTTGGGAGGTGTTGTCTTATTCCAGGGTAATGCTGAATATGACTAAACCAGCGAGACACATTGATGTAGGTTTCTTTTTCTTGAATGGAAAGATCAGCCTGGAAAAATAAAACATACTTTCAATGAATACTCAATGTTTATCTTGCCACCACATTTTCATACTGCCTACTGTTGTTTAATTACTGACACATAGTGTAGAACTCTTAGTAGTTCTTCCAAAAATACAAACTTGGTGCCCTGAAATTTCAAGTCATGTATACTAAAATCTACATACACCAAGGAGGTCGTACGAATCTATACTTTCTAGAAAGGAAAATTCAGTTTATCAATGCACAATAGGGTCTTCTAAACCAGAGACTGCAGTAGCCAGCAGAGGCGCACTAAAAAATTGATAAAAGGAATGGAGCATTTTAGTTATGAAGAGAGGTTAACAAATTTAAAGGGAAACTATAGTCAGCAGAACAACTACAACTTATTGAACATTATGATTGGCTGAGTGTCTCCCAGAAGATAATAGATGGCCTTCAAATATGGATATATATATATTTGTTAAACTTGTTTTCTAAAATAAAACATATATCATAAACCTTAACAATTGGAAACAGGCAGGAATTGCATGGCTGTCCCAGCTATTTGCAGAAGGTACAATCAAAGCCTTTGTTCAATTAACACAGGAATATAGCTTACCACCAAAAGAGCTGTTCAATTTTTTGAGACTTAAAAGCTTTTTGACGACACATTTAATAGTATCAAAATCTAGTCCAAATAACATGATAAATATACTATTTAATTCAGATAAGATAAACAAACCGCTCTTTAAAGCTTTGCTATTAAGTAAAATGTGTAATAAAGAAAAAACACCAACAGCTATAGCTGCTTGGAAAGAAGAATTAAACATAGATATAAATATGAGGTACTGGGGTTTTTCATTGATAGAAGTTTCGAAGAATATACACTCGCTAAATTTATTAGAAACCCATTTTAAGGCTCTAAATAGATGGTACTTAGTACCAGATAAATTGAATAAAATGTACCCCACAATAAACCATCTATGTTGGAGATGTGGCATAGTTACAGGTACTTTTAAGCATATTTGGTGGGAGTGCAACAAATTGAATAACTTGTGGTCTAATATCCAAAGGTTTGTGTCTGCAGATCTGAATCTTGAGTTGAGTCCTGCTTCATCTAAATTGGCCGGTAATGGCGTATGAGTCGAAAATTATTCTTATTCATCTTTTTTTAGCTGGCAAAATTGTGATTGCGAGAGGCTGGAAAAATGATAGGGACGTTCCTTGGGATCAAGTTAGAGCCCAGCTTAAGTTTCAGATTAAAATGGAACTGTTGTTGAGTAAACAAAAATCATGTAAAAAAATAACTGTTTGGACGAAATGTTAGGAGAGGATTAATAAATAGAGCTTTCAGCAAATAAAATTAACCTCTTTACAAACTTAAAGGGAAATTGTGTCAGATTGGCCATACTTTGGATAATATAAGATATACATTCTTACTCGATATGTGTTTTCTCCTCTCTCCTTTGCCGCATTGTCTTGTTTATGTAGATATGTAAGTTAAATGTATTGTCTTGTTTTTGGTTAAGTGAAATGTATAAAGAAAATTTTCATGGATGTTTTTTCCAAATGGAAGTAATGTTTCCTACCATTTGTATGTAACTGTTGTATTGTATTGTCTTTCATGAAAAAAAAAAAGAAAAAAAAAAGGGGAAAACCTTTCAATAAAGACTATTTAAAAAAATAAAATAAAACAAAACATATATAAAGAGCTCAGAAGTTCCACTTGCCTTGAAAAGTTTGCCTTGGCAATTTGAAAAAACACCCTTGGTGAAGTTTGCCATGAACACTGCAGCCCTGTCTAACAGTGTAGAACTTTTACATCATTTGAGTTAGCTGGAGAGAGAGAGAGAGTGTGAGTGTGAGTGTGAGTGTGTGTGTGAGTGTGAGTGTGAGTGTGTTTTATTTAAATATATTACACAAGATCCAGCACACTCACTTATGCACTAAACAGCAACTTGAATGTTGACAGATTTTATCAGTTTAAAAAACAAAACCAAAACAAACACCTCATCTAGGCAAAAATAACAGAGGTTTAGTTACATTATATGATCATACATTGCATAAACCTGCCAACTACGTCAAAGTACCCCATCTTTGGCAGCTTTGAGTTATATATAAATAAAACTGAAATAAAATGCAAGTTTTATTTATTTTGATAAAAAGTCCTTGCTTGATATCCATATTTGTGTGTCTCTTTAAAATCTCTGGACTATCATAAAACACGGTTATTGGTGAGCTTGGTGCTATAAGATAAGTAAATTATACTTGCATGCTTAAAACTAGTGTTGACTTTTTTTTGGAAGAAAACCATACTTTATCACCTCAACAACAGTTTGCTGTCTCCCAAGTGCTAGGGTCCGTCATGTTACTGACATAGTGGGTGGATTATTGGGCTGGGGATGACTCATCTGTCGTGGTCCATATTGGTACCAATGACATTATCAGAGAAAGATGGAGGGTCCTAAAGAAAAAGTTAAGGGAATTAGAAAATAAAAGAGAGGAGAGAGAAGGTTGAAGAATGATGTATAAGTTCAGTATGGCTGAAAGAGCAGGGCATGAACCCGGATAATGAAGTAGAAAGAAGAAGAGAACTAGCTCTTAACCCTGAAGTACGGTTAGAAAATAATTTAAAACGTAACTTTTAATGTTGTATTAGACAAAAGAGATACATATATATGGAGACAATATTTGGTAGTTCCACTAGATGGAGACAAAACGTAACCATGCTAAGAAATATCAAAGAAAGGGATACTTAGTGATCTATTCACAATATATACAGAGTTGAAAAAGTGAAAAAAAAAAAAAAAAAAATATATATATATATATATATATATATATATATATATATATATATATATATATATATATATATATTTACAAATAAGTGTTCTATAGTGAATCAAATAAACGATCTGTAACAGTTTATCACCAGAATGCAACATGGTATGAGAACACCATGTTAACTATTCAGTGCCAGGGGGAACCCTCGGCAATATGGGAATTCAAACAAAGTACAACGGCTACTAAAACAGTGAGGGGTGAAGTCCTAGAAAGGATTGTTGGTGTAGAATAAACAATGTTTATGTAATGGTAATGGTGAAAATATCGGCATTCTAGTATATACAGATGCTTAATCTGTGCCTTCAAGGGCACCTATGCTGGATTGTCAAAACTAAATCTGTCACTGAATAGCACCAGGGATGTATTTACCACAAGGCAAACAAGGCATTTGCCTAGGGAGGCACTTTCAGGGGGGTTGCCAAAAAATGCCACGCCAAACTCCCAGACAAATGCCTTGTTTGCCTCGTGTTCTGGGGCTGTCCACCTTACTGTGAGTGAGTGAGTGAATGAGTGTAGCTGTCAGTGTGTGTCTGTGAGTGAGAATGGGTGTGCCTGTGAGTGTGTGTCAGTGTGTGTATGTCATTTTATGTGTATCTGAGAGTGTGTGCCTGTCAGTGAGTGGGTGTCAGTGTGTGTTGGTTAAACAGTGTGTGCCAATGACTGTATGTGTGTGCCAATGACTGTATCTGTCAGTGAGTGTATATCAGTGCATGTATCAATGAGGGCATGTGTCTGTCAGTCCAAAAAAATGGCCTTGACATTAATTGGGGGGGGCAAATTTAGATTTTGGGGGTGCCCGAATTTAGTCGTGCCTAGGGCAGCACAAATCCAAAATACACCACTGAATAGCACTGCCGATAATTATCACTATTCCAAAATACAGTAGCAAGTAAAAAACGTCGGGAAAATAATTCTGCTCCAAAGATATGCTAATCTGTGCCTTCAAAGGGACCTGTAAGTAAGATGATTTAGCTATCGCTGAAATAATAATGCTGCAAGGATTTGCTAGTCTGTGCCTTCAAGGGCACCTGTGAGAAAGAGAGTTTAACTATCTCTATTGAGCAGAACGCCAGAAAGTCAGTTCACCCTGGTCAGACCGCTGCTGAAGAATTCAGTGCTGGGAGGTCTGTAAGAATACACGTACTGCTTGTACGCCAGTGATCACAGACTATCAGTGAAGCATCTGCAGTCTAACCATGGGTGAATGATGGAGCCCCGACGCGCGCTTTTTTTTTCCCTGTTGGGCGGCCTTTCAGGGGGAAACGAGCCTCTACTGAGAGAAGTTTTAAATATCAGGCTGTATCTGATGATTGGTAGAAAAATAACCAATCCGGAGCTTAAGTGAATTGATTGACAGATAGGACAGCCAATAGGAGTGGAAGGATTACAACATAAAAAAATAGGTCATATAGTGATTTAACTGTAAAGTCAAATGAGGAATGGTTTTAAAGAGATATTTTTAAGGATGTCCTGTCTCATTGAAGTAACAGCCAGATATACATAGACTGTGTGTCCAATGTTGTAAATATTATGAGAGCATTATAAGTTAGTCTCCTAAGAAAATATAATGACGGTAGTAATGAGAACTTTGAATACTTGTAACATGTGATTAGCGGTCAGAACTGTTTTGTACTATATTTTTTAATGAATATAGATATGACAGAATTAATTGGAGATATACAATTGAGAGAGCATGTTATGAATGAATGAAAGGGGTGAAGTTAAATTCTTAATTTAACCCCTTAGGTGCCATCATTTGATATTTGTAGATAAATCTGGATTCCTTCTGGCGTAATTTCAGCTTAAAATTGCCTCAGCGTGAATTAAGAATTAATTTCTCTATGGCCTGAAATCTCAAATGATCAGGTTCGGCATTGTGAAAGTTGATAATGTGTCTGGCAATGGGAGTAGGATTGCCAGAGTTGGTAGTTGAATTAACATGTTGTAGGACGCGTCGCCTGAATTCCTGATAGGTTTTATAGATTATATTTATATTATACATTTATATATATTGTTTGCCGCAGGAACAAGTTATAAGATATGATCTTAGTGGTGCTACAGTTAACAGATGCATTAGTGTTAACTGTAATATTGGTTTGGTTAGATTTGGTGAGTTTGTTGGGTAAAATATATTTGCATGCCTTACAGTGGCCACAACGATAGGTGCCTTTGGTTGGGGTTAGCCAGTGTGCATCTGCAGGTTTTTTTTTTCTCGGAACGATGGCTGTGATTGCTGGATGCATAGGTAAAGATTCACTAAGGTCCCGATTGTGCGTTAATAGGACAATATTTATTAAGGGTGTCAGACATGGTGGGTCAACCACTGTCAAATGTCACAATGTATCTGATGGTTTTGTTCGGTGGTGGCCTTGTCATTCTCAAACTTGATCCTCTGTCAGTTTGGCATAATTTGTTAAATGCTCTTTTTATGACCCTGTTGGGGTATCCAAGGGACTGAAATCTGTGTCGGAGTTCTTGACATACCTGGAAGAAATCTTTATCGTCTGAGCAATTTATGCGAGCCCACAGATACCGCCCATATGGAATAGAGGATTTCAATCTGGGGGATAGTGGCTTTGCCAATGTAAGAAGCTGTTGGTAGAGGTTGCTTTCCTATACAGTTGTGTTTGAAGAGTTCCATCAAGTGACAGTATGATTTTTAAATCAAGAAAAATCATGTAATTTTCATGGATTACATGGGTAAGAGAGAGATGTCATTGTGGTTTAGATCTTCCACATATTGATCAAATATGGAGATGGAACCTGTCCATAGGAGCAGTATTTCATCTATATACCAAGACCGGCGTAAAATATACTGTTGGTATTTACCATAGGTACTGCTCCCACCATCCTAAGAAGAGACTTGCAAAGCTAGGGGCACAAGTTGTGCCCTAGCAGTGCCGGTCACCTGGAGGTAAAGTTTGCAATTAAAAATAAAGTAGTTATGAGTCAGGGCAAATGTAAGGAGGGATAAGATGAAGTCTTTTTGAGCTTCGTCATATGTGGTTTGATCCAAGAATTTACATGCTGAAATGCCTTTGTCATGTGGTATGATACTATTCAAAAAGACAACATCCAGACTAGCCAATAAAGTATATGGTGGGACTTCAAGGTTTTCTAGTACCAATAATGTGTCCTTGGTGTCTTGAAGGTATGATGGCAACTCTTTCACTAAAGGATGTAGAATACTGTAAGGCAGCAGTGGCCAGAAACTATTGGTCTGCCCGGGGAGGGGGTCCGTGGTGTTCTCGTGGACCTTAGGCAGATAATAGAATGTGGCAACGGTGGGGTTGTAGTTGGGTAAGAGATAATTAAACTCTTGGGAACTGATTAATTTTTTGTCAAAGGCGTCTGTTACTAATGTTCTAAGTTCAGATAGGAATTTGATAGTAGGGTCTGAGGTTAATAAATGGTAGGTGTGATGGTCATTAAGATGGTCCACACAGATGTCTATATATTTGTCACGTTTAACAACACGATATTCACGCCCTTGTCTGCAGGCTTCATAATAGTGTTATCAGCTTCTTTTAGTTCCTTCAGAGCCCTAATTTCGTTCCAAGTGAGATTGTGAATGGGGACTTTGTTGTTCGTGCTATTCTCCAGTTCCTCAGTGGTTAGCTGGACAAATAGATCGACATGTGGAACCTCACTTAGGTTAGGCTTGAACCAGCTACCTGATTTTAATTTGGTCATAGGTTTAAAGCCTCTTGTTCAGTGCATAGTTCTGTTAAAGTGTTGACATGGATAATATCTTAATCTTTTGAGGTTAAGCTCATTTCTGGGGTTGTTTTGTAGTTTATGCAATACGTCTCGGCTAGCTTATGTCCGAATAGATGAATGTCTTTTGACCACTCAAACTTGTCCCAAGTTGGAGTGGGGACAAACGAGAGGCCTTTATTGAGCAGGAAGGGGTGTAAAATCTGATAGACTGAGGATTAATTTGGAATTAGAAGTTAAGGTCTGGGACGGGATTTGTAGGCCCATCTTTCTCTGTCTCGTAATCTCGTTCTCTGCCGGCTTGGTGAATCCTGGTCTAAAAAAAGACGAGGATGAAGTAGCAGTGAGAGTGGGCTCAGCAGTATTAGTGGATACAGGAGAGTCTAGAAATGATACTGATCAGTATTTTTGAATATAACCCTATTGTTGGAGGATTGATTAGTTTGATCACTATGGTCTGGTCTGAGGAATTACTTCCCGAGCCTGACCAGTCTGTCTTAACAGGGATGGAGCTGGTACAGCTATTAGTGCGTCTGCGGCGGTTACGTTTTGGTCTAAAAATATGGCCTTCTTTAAAGTATTTGTGGTCATGCTGAATGAAACTTGCCATGTTTTTTTTAATCTTTAGATTTTGTCTGAAATTTTCTATATTTTTTTGAAGTTTGGTTTCCATAGAGGTGAATTGGCTGTTGGGGTTGAAGTTTTTTACACTTACTATCTCTTCCTGTAATTTTGTGTTCATCTCTTGAAATTGTACTGAGTCAAGTCAAGTTTTACCAGAAAATCAATGACTCTGAAAGAGCAGTCTAGTAATATACTATTCCACTCATTACGTTGTTCCTCAGTTTGTACTTTATCTGGTAATAAAATGTCAGGACAAAGGCCCCTAGGGACCAATTCTTGTTCAATATATTGTTTAAGACTGGCTATTTCCCAAAGGCTTCTAATCTGCTGTTGATAGAGTTTTTGGAATGCAAAAAAAACCTGCTTTATATCACCAGTACAGTTGGTATTACGTGTTAGTGGGTTTGTTGAGAATAAATTAGTTATATCATCCTGTCCCTGATTAGGATCAGTGATCTGTTCAAGGAAGTCAGACATTTGTTAGGATGGCAAGACTAGCACTGAATAGTTAACATGATGTTATCATACCATGTTGCATTCTGGTGATAAACTGTTACATATCGTTTATTTGATTCTCTATAGAACACTGCATTTTCATTGAGCACAGCTTGCTACTATCTATCTATACACATCCCAGCGTAAACTCTTATTTGTGTGTGTATATATATATATATATATATATATATATATATATATATATATATATATATATATATATAAAAATTATTTTTTATTTTTGTTCTTTCCCTTTTTCAACACTGTATATATTGTGAATAGATCACCAAGTATCCTTTTCTTTGATGATATTTCTTAGCATGGTTAAGTTTTGTCTCCATCTAGTGGAAATACCAAATATTGTCTGTCTCTCTCTCTATATAATCAAAAAAATAATAATAATAAAATAAATAAATATATATCCCCCTTTTGTCTAATACAATATTCAAAGTTACGTTTTAAATTATTTTCTAACCATACTTCAGGGTTAAGAGCTAGTTCTCTTCTTCTTACTACGGAATTAGAAAATAAACTGAAGAAAAAGACCTCCAAGGTAGTAGTTTAAGAGATATTACTAGTGCCATGTGGTACAGCGGAAAGCCAGAATGAGATTAATAGGGAGGTTAATGCATGGCTGAAGTCATGCTGTACAATCTCTTTAGCCGTTTTAGATTGCACCTAAATGGTGGAAGATTTGCTGTTCCTGGGGACAGGGGGGGAAGAAGAGGTACAGAGAAGGTTGCAAAATGAAGAGAGAACAGAAGGGAAATGGAATATAGCTCAGGACAAGGGGAGGAGAATGGACCAAACGAGGCATGTAATAATATGTTGCATACAGTACAAGTGGCTCATGAGACTACTAAAAAGTTATGCTTGCATATGCAAGGAGCCCAAATAACAAAAAAAGGGAACTACAGGCAATAACATGACATAATAGGCATAACAGAAACATGTTGGGATGAAACAATGGACAGTTAAAGGGACACTATAGTCACCCAGACCACTTCAGCTCAATGAAGTGGTCTGAGTGCCAGGTCCTCCAGGTTTTAACCCTGCAGCTGTAAACATAGCAGTTTAAGAGAAACTGCTATGTTTACATTGCAGGGTTAATCCAGCCTCCAGTAGCTGTCTTCTTGACAGCTGCTAGAGGCGATTCCGCGACGCTCAAAGCGAAAATCGCAAAAAGAACGTCAATAGGCAAGCATTGAGTAATGCTTTCCCCATTTGAATGCGTGTACGGCTCTGGCCGTGCATGTGCATTCGGCTCCACTCAGGAGCTGCCGTCGGAGGAGGGAGGAGAGGTCCCCAGCGTTGAGGGAGCCCGGCGCTGGATTTAGGTAAGTGGCTGAAGGGGTTTTAACCCCTTTAGCCTATCGGGAGGGGGGTACTTAAGGACTATATAGTGCCAGGAAAACAAGTTTGTTTTCCTGGCACTACTGTGGTCCTTTAACATAAATGGTTACAAATTGGATAGAAAGAATAGAAAAGGGGGTGGGGTATGTTTGTATGTCAATCATACGTTAAAGCCAAATATTAAGCAAGTAATATGTGATGGGGAAAATGTGGAAGCCTTATGGGAACATATCTGCTTTGGATAAAAGAGGGGAAATCCATTACTGGATTAGAGAAACACAAATGTGTTCCTATATTCAAAAATGGTTAATTATCTCAGTCTGTAAATTATAGACTTGTGAGCTTAGTATCTATGACTGGGAAAGTATTTGAAGAGCTATTAAGGGATAATATTCAACAATTCACTGAGAACAATGTCATTATTACAAATCAGCAGGTTTTTATAAAAAAACATAGATTATATCGAAGTTAACTTATTTCCATTCTAAAAGAAATATAGATCAGGATGTTGCAGTGAATGTGACATACTTGGATTTTGCTAAGGTGTGCAATTAGAAAACGTGCAGAGATGGGCTACTAAATTAAAAAGGGAAATAAAAGATATTTGTTGTGAAGAAAGACTAACAAACTTAAATCTGCTTAGTTTAGAAAAACTGCACGTCAGAGGGCTTATGATAACATTATACAAATATTTTTGGGGAGAATACAAGCCATTGTCTGGAAATACATTCATAAATAGGACACAGTAAGGATGTAGAATTATCTGCATTCTACATCCTTACTGGATGAATTCTTGCAAAAATAGTATACTTAGGGGTAGAATATTTAATATGTGGGATAACAGCTTCTTGATCCAAAGAGCGACCAGACTGTTGCACACTTGGAAAAAAACTTTTTTTTTGCCTTCTTCTGCAATACAGAAAAAGTCAGAATGTCTTTTTTTCTAGCCTTACTACGTAATACTTACAATTATCGGGTGCAGGCCATAATAGATTAAGATATCAGCCAAGGTGATAGTGTTCCCAGCCAAATAAACTTTGTCTTCCAAGTACAAGTTAAGATCCTAGATTTAAAAAAAAAAAAATATATATTGACATAAATGAACAGGTTAAGAATATTTTATTAAAATCAATGTACCATTAAAAACTAAAATATGACATATTTAATCATCTATTTAAATATTGTGTATTTTGTCCTCTCTTTGCATTTTACTCATTCCAATAGATTTGTGTCTATCATCTTCCAACCAGAAGTATTGCAGTACCAAGTTATCTGCTGATGACAGTGTTCAGTGAATCTCCGCAGTAATGCAAGTCTACGAACTGTTACAACAAATTTATCACCTAAGTTCTAAGCGAATCTAATACTTGTTTCAACAACTTTTATTATAAAGTTATCCCATGTAGTGGGGTTATTCAGCTTGTTATATTATCAGCTATAACTACTGCAGTGAGTATCAGTCTGATGCAGCCATCTCTGCTACACGGAACACAAAATGCACCCATCGCTCACCAACATAAAGATGGTACTTTTTCATCTTGCACATGGTTTCTGTTATCTATCTTTTTATATTATATGATTTCATATCAGGGCTGGGGTTAATGTGCTGGTGTTCCTTTAATCTAAGGGCAGCATTTGAACAATTTCTGATCTGACAATGATAAGCAACTTAGACTACCAGGTGGCAGATGTAGCCATCAACAAGCTCAGACAAGGACTAATTCAGGGATAATGTCACCACTGTATAATGAGGCTTGAACTCATGATGGTTATCAACCAACCTTTAGTATACATCTGACATCTTCTTTGGAGGCCAATCTGTCTATACGTGTAATTCGGTACTCCAGCCACTGTTGAACAATGGTCTTTTCCTCTATCGAAGCCCCAAGGAGTTCTTCTTTTTTTGCCTCTTTCACTAAATAAGAAGCAATGGTGGCAAGCCCCGATAAGCTAGGACCCTTGTTGATCTGAAGCACAGGAACCTAAGCAGAAGGGAGAAAAGAATACATTTTGTATATAACAATTGCTTAAAAGTGAATTAAAAAAAAAAGAACGAAAGGATGAAAGAAAGAGTGGGGGGAGGGAGGAGGTCACAATGTGTGTCTTCAATACATAGAGTACAAACAAATAGGCAGAGATGCTAACCTAGCAAACAATACAAATGACAAATATTGATAAATTACGTGATAAAATGCATACAAAATAAACTATGAAAGTCAGCAAGCTTAATGGCATCTATAAACATTAAAATGCAGTCACAAGCATCATAGCAGCATTACCATCTGCATTAAAATGTAATTTTCTGGAAGAGGAGATGGAGCTGGCTACCTAAACCAACCTACTGCTGCATAACTAAGATTTCTCTGTTTTGACTTGTGAGAGTCTTGTGGATTAAATTACAAATCATAATTGCTTTCGTGTAAACTCAGTATCTTTGAATGTAGATATGTATTTGGACCGCCTTTCTTTCCCATGGCAAGGGGCTGTAGTGCGCATTTTGGGATGATAGGGAGTGTTGTTTGTGTTAGGGGAGACAGTGACGTATCTGTGTGTTGAGGGGGAGGAGCAGTCGTGGTAGGGGAAAAAGAAGTGTAGTGGCTGTAGTGGGGAAATAGTAGTGGCTGTAGTGGGAAGTAGGGACAGTGGGTAGGGTTCCATGGTGGTTAGACAGGGGTTGTACTGTGGGGGATGGATAGTGGTAGTGGTGGGTATAAAGGCAATATTGGAAGGATAGCTGCTGTGGTGGGTGTGCAGATGCTGTTGTGGGGAGGTGGTAGTAGGAGTGGAAAGACAGGGCTTGTGGTGGGAGGACAGGAGCTATAGAGGGAGGACTGGCATTCTATTGTGGGGGATAGTTGCTGCTTAAAAATAGTGTTGGATAAAACCCCCCACCAAAAAACGTAAAGTGTATTCCCCTCTCCAGGATGCTTACCTTGGGCCAGGAAAGGGGGCACCTGATCCCTAGGGGTCTAGTGGGAGATGTTGCTGGCTGCTGTGAGACAATAAAATCTTCTCTGACTTGAGCACCTTCTCTTCCGGAGAGCTTCCCTGTTGGTTTGGCCCGGGCAGGATAAAAATCGGTCTGGTGAGGAAAATCAATGATCTCTTTACCGATGGTGTCACCCCTCACTTGCTTGACGTCCTCGGTGGCCTTTTGGCAAATCTGATTATGCTTCTGATGTATTAAGTATATAAGAAGGAATAGAAACAATGTTTCATTTCTCCTCATGCTTTCTCTATGTTTAAAGGGACACTATAGGCACCCAGACCACGTCCTCTAAATGTCTGCAATGTGCCCCCCCACCCTTCCTTTTAACCCTGCAGTTGAAAACATTGTTGCTGGCGTAGGTCAGTATTTTAATGCAGTGCAGTGTTTTGACACATATGCTCCTGTTGCTTTCTTACGTGCAAGTATTGGATTGGTTGAGATCATCAAGATTGAAGGTGCGGCTTGAGCCAGGAGGCTATCGAGGAAAACAAGTAAATCACCTTTTTTAACCCAGGCAGCGCTGGCCGGTCACCTAAACTGTGTCTATGGCACCGTATTAGCAAAAACCATCCAGAAAACACTTTTGGTGGATGGATGCTAGTCAGGGAAACTCTGGCTAGTGCAGTGAAAGATGGCATATTAAACTGAGCAAATTTAGCAAAACAAAAAACAAAGAATCAAAAGAAGCTTTATTACATAACGATGCAGCCAAGCAGTATGCCGGCTGGAAAATCTTGCTCCCTCAAAAGATAATGCCGGACGTCCTGTGGACATTGACGACACGATATTATTACGAGTTACCCACATTTAGATATAGTGCTTATTTGTAACCATCAATGTCTCACAAGTTGAAATACTGTCATTGTAACAAGTCAGACCGTTTCAAGCCATAATCTATGAATTAACTTTTTAATGTACCCATTAATATAGTATATTTACAAGACTACATATCTATATGTTTATAAGTCGACGTGTTTATTGTTATCTATATTTGTGTTCCTAAATGCATACTTCCTGTAATAAAGTTACTTAAAAAAAAATATTGGCAAATAAGTTGTTTATCCATTCAATTATCCCTTGGAGCACAATTTAGTTGGTCTGCATACAAAGACCCCTTACAAATAAGGATGAGACGTGTCATCCCATTATGTTTTTTTAGGATTTATCTCATAGTTGCCTAAATATGAGTCAAGTGGTTTATCCCCCCCAAAAATCAGTTCAAATCATCATATAGAAATCAATATCAGTCATGCCATTGCTACATAAGGTTTATACACAGCTAGATTTAAAAAAAACAAACAAAAAAAACAGCTCTATTTTAAAGGGATACTATAGTGCCAGGAATACAAACCTGTATTCCTGGCACATTCGCTCTCCCTGCATCTCCCTGATATACAGCCACTGAGGGCATAGTTAGTGCTGCAATGTAAATACTGCAGTTTCTAGATGCAAAAGGGACAATGCACCCAGATTACTTCAATGTGCCCACAGTGTCCCTTTAATGTCAGGGGAGATGTGGACCATGTCTGAATAGTCCCTGTCTCAGCGATCACTATGGGTGACTAAGTGTTTCACAATGCTATTATTAACAAGCCCAAGCTAAGTTTATGAAACGGTTTCAATAGGGTGGTTATGGAACAAAGTGCAGATATATCCTAGGGGAAAAAAAATATAGTCCCTGAGAGGACTGATTGACAGGAGCCAGAGGAGGAGTAACACCCTAGCAAACATGTTAAATATACTTTATGGCACACTGCTTACCATGCAGTAGGTGATTTCATCTTTAGCCTGTAGTGCTACAACTATAATAACTCATTAATTAAAAAATATTAAAAATATTAAAAATGTGGGAGAAATACAAACAAAACAGAAAGCAGAGAGGTTTGTTACAAGTGAGCAGAATCATATACAGCATGTGCTATAAATACCACCACACACAGCTGCCTCCATTGCAAACTGCATGTGCATAAAATCCATATCTTTAATGGGTGTTGTTCCCCAGGCACTCTATCGTTAAATAATACAGTAAATATAAACACATTGTCACTGGATTTGTATTCTCAGAATTCCCTGTGTGTCCTACTCTCTGCACATTCATTATTACACATTGCATACATCAATACACCCGCAATAAAAATCAGAAGAACTAAATACTTTTAAAGACTGATTTACGTTTATCTCCATGACATCTCACCTGACCGCCACCCTGTGCTTTACAGCTGTATTTTCCTCCTTTTAGTCCCAGACATTTCTCCAAGGCTCCTAACTCGTCCACCGCCATCTTGGTTGGCAAGACACAAAGACACACAGTGCCAACCAACCCCAGTCCAGTATAGCCCCGCCCCACTCAGCAAACTGTCGGCTTCCGATTGGCAGTGAGTGGAGCGTAACCACGTAAAGTCCTGCCTTGGAACGATGCGATTGGTGGATTATTAACATAGCGCGCACGGCCCGCAGCGGAAACTAACTGCTATGTTCGACTGTTCTATGGATGAGTTGCGGGTTTCCTCCCTTCCATGTGTTCATGGCAGGTGCGGCGCATGAATAATGACGTCATTAACTTTACCGCTCTGAGGTGCCATCTTTGATGTGGGCGCAAAGATCAGTGGCTGTAATTACGTGCTGTTAGAATAAGCTTCTACATAACGTATTCTGTATGATAGTAACGTAGGAAACACTACAGCGCTGTAAAAAAAGTTTTAACCTTCACTAAGAGGGCTGTGACGGTAGTCACAATCACCAGGAGCTTCAGACAGACTATGTATGTAGTTCCTTGGAATGTTCTTATGTTTTAGTCACCCTGTACCCATTATAGGCACAGGGTGTGTGTAAAATATTTAGTGTTAAATGTTTTGCCTGCTCTCCTGCCCTGTTGAGGATTGCTACCAACTAGGTGGATTTGGCTATAGAACCTGTATAGTGCCCTCTGTTGGTAGGAACAGCAATATGCACTACCTGAATAGCAAAGCTTGTTCATTTGCCTATTCGGGTAGATTTGCATATTGCTAATTCCACAGGCAGGAGAGATATTTTGTGTTAAATATTGTCTTCTCTAACACTTTAAGAAACATGTCCTTGTGTTATAATTAGTTGCTGTATGTTGCCTGCTATGATTTGGTTATTTGTATCTAATTGAAGTTGTCACAGCAATCTAAGTGTAAAGAACTTATGGCCTAGTCTAGAGTTAATATCAAGTATTGCTTATGTGAATATTTAGGTATGCCAGTGACAGAGTCTTTGGACCTTTTGGCTGGGTGCCCGACTCCTCTACTCTTGGGATAAATCAAGAGAGCTAGGCCTGAGAAATGCAAGTACCTTTGTGAAGGTAATAGCAATTACTGTAAGCAGAGCTGCAGAGGGTACAATACCTGCCTGGAAGGAAAGCTGCAGCGGAATAGGCAGAGGGGAAGTTACCTGCCTGGAAGAAGAGCTGCAGCCTGCTCGGGTAGAAAAGCTCCTGAAGGACCCCAGCCAAGCTGCGGCAGGTTTCCCGGTTCAAGCTAGGAAGCCAGCTTGGCAGAGGTACCCAGCCAAGGTACAGGAAGCTCAGTCACAGGGGCTAAGATGGAGCAAGCCACCTAAATTGTGGTTTTAACACTGTAGGATCAAAATTACGTTTGTTTTTGACCCTATAGTGTTCGTTATAGTTTAAAAACGTGTTTGTCAACTATGTCAAGCATACGGAAATTACTCAGACAATCAAAGTTCAACCCAGTAATGTTTACAATAATGTACCTCAACAAGATTAATGTGAATTGTACGTATGCACAACCAAGAACGAAAAAAGTTAACAAAAGAAATTAATAATTCTATGTCACACATTTTCCAATAAGATATCAAAGCCATTTCCCCCTTAATTTTTGGATTTGGTAACACAAATGATTTGGAATTTAATATAAAATTCATAATGTTACCCTAGAATTATTCATTGCTATCTCAAGTCATATCTATAGCCACCACCCATCTTTATAAATCCATCCTATCCAATCCCAATTATTATTATTATTATTATTATTATAAGTATTTATATAGCGCCAATTTATTGTTATAAAATTGGGATATTCAGGGGCGGACTGAGCACTTGGGCAAATTGGTTATGGACTGAGGGCCCAGCCAGCCTGCACACAGCAGGGGCCCCGCACGGCATTCCGCGGGCCCCTGTTACAAAATACAATCTCCAAAATACAATTTGCCGGTCCCAGCAAGGCACACCGAGAGACAGCTAATGGGGTCTTTCCAAAGACCCCACTAGGCTGCCTCTCGGTGTGCCTGAAAGATAAACAGCACGAGAGGTGTCTGTAACAGATCAGGCAGCTCTGTGCTTCTCATTAAGCAGGAAATTACATCATGTTTCACAAGTTCAATGAGCTCTGCGGAGCTGCCTGTTCACTGTTACAGACAGCAAGCAGTACAGTATGTGATACAACATGCCACAGGTAAGGGAAGGGAAAGATAAACAGGTTAATTTTAATTAAAACTCTATATAATCAGCCCCCTACCGCTTCTATCCCCTGTAGCCCACCTACCCCCTGGACCCAGTCTAACCCCTGCAGCCCCTATAATCCCCCTATCCCCTGTAGCCCACCTACCCCCTGGACCCATTCTAACCCCTGCAACCCCTGCAGCCCCTATATCCTCTCTATCCCCTGTAGCCCACCTACCCCCTGGACCCATTCTAACCCCTGTAGCCCACCTACCCCCTAGACCCAATCTAACCCCTGCAGCCCCTATAACTCCTCTATCCCTTGTAGCCCACCTACCCCCTGGACCCATTCTAACCCCTGTAGCCCACCTACCCCCTCGACCCATTCTAACCCCTGCAGCCCCTATAACCCCTCTATATCCCGGAAGCCCCCCTGCACCCATTCTAACCCCTGCAGCCCCTATATCCTCTTTTATCCTGTAGCCCACCCTACCCCTGGACCCATTCAACCCCTGTAGCCCACCTACCCCCTAGACCCATTCTAACCCCTGCAGCCCCTATAGCTCCTCTATCCACTGTAGCCCACCTACCCCCTGGATCCATTCTAACCCCTGCAGCCCCTGTAGCCCACCTACCCCCTTGACCCATTCTAACCCCTGCAGCCCCTATAAACCCCTCTATTCCCTGTAGCCCCCCTGCACCCATTCTAACCCCTGCAGCCCCTATAATCTCTTTATCCCCTGTAGCCCACCTACCCCCTGGGCCCATTCTAACCCCTGTAGCCCACCTACCCCCTAGACCCATTCTAACCCCTGCAGCCCCTACAACTCCTCTATCTCCTGTAGCCCACCTACCCCCTGGACCCATTCTAACCCCTATAGCCCACCTACCCCCTCGACCCATTCTAACCCCTGCAGCCCTTCTAAACCCTGCAGCCCCTAAAACACATCTACCCCCTTCAGCCCTTCTAATCCCCTGCAGCCCCCCTACCCACTGCAGTCCTTACCTTTGCAGCCCTTCTAACCACTGCAGCCCCCCTACAGTCTATAAACCTCCTACAGCCTCTCTACTCTCTAGAGCTCTTAAAATACCTGCACCTCTTACAGCCCTTAAAATATCTGCATCCCCTACAGACCCTTACCTCATACAGACCGTCTACCCCCTCCGCAGCCCCTCTATCCCCTACAGCCCTTCTAACCCCTTCAGCATCCCTACATGCTACAGCCCCTAAAATCCCTGCACACCCTACAGCTATTATATCCCCTAGAGCCCCTACATTCCCTGCATCAACTAAAGCCCAATGAACGCCATGCACAAACTACAGACCATTTCCCCTACACCCACTACTGCATCTATTGCTCTCTGCATGTGCCACAGCCCCTATCCCTCCCCTACATCCACAATAGCCCCTATTGCCCCAACCCAACTATAGGCTCTATCACTCCCTGTCCCCACTAAAGCCCCTATAAACACTACAGCTTCTATGCCCCTGGCATCCATTGCAGCGTTTATCCCCCTTGTCTCCTGCACACGCCACAGCCCCTATTACCCATTGCACTCATTAAAGCCCCTATTAACCTCTGCACCCACTATGGCCTTTATAACCCTGCATCCTATGCTATGACATAGAAACGTCTCTACACCCACATGAATACTACTATGATTTAGTTGTAGAAATTACTTGTCTCCATTTTTGATTGTGGTGTCTTTTTATCCATTTAAATGGACACTATAGACACCCAGACCACTTCAGCTCATTGAAGTGGTCTGAGTGCAGTGTCCCAGTTTCCTTAAACCTGCAATGGCAATTATTGCAGTTTTTGAGAAACTACAATAATTACCTTTCAGGGTTAACTCTATCTCTAGTGGCTGTCTACCAGACAGCCACTAGAGACTTTTGCATCGCTAGGCAACTTTTGGTCACCTAACTGACGCTGGACGTCCTTACGCTATGCATGAGGACATCTAGCTTCATACAAAACCCCATAGGAAAGCTTTATACAATGCTTTACTATGTGGGAAGTCCTAATGCGAGTGTAGCGCCTGAACCAGCACTGAGGGACATCAGCGCTGGATTCAGGTAAGTGACAGAAGGGGGTTTTTATCTGTGGGTAACTATAGTGCCAGGAAAACTACTTTTGTTTTTCTAGCACTATTGTTTCCCTTTAAATAAACTCTAATTCCACATATCCTGACACGACACACAAAGACACATGTATAATTACACCAGGGTTCACAGTGCATATACACACAAAAGCATACATTCACGTTACATGCACATACAATCAAATAAACGGTACATCTACAACAGGACATATATTGATCTTCAGGGGGCCCGGGTCCTAATTTTGCCCCGGGGCCCAAACCATTGTCAGTCCGTCCCTGGGTATATTTGACAACAAGTAATTTACATACGGAATATTACATAGACAAGAGGCTAAGAAGGCCCTGCTCAAACGAGTTTACAATCTATGAGTTATGCAGTCTATAAGTAATGGTGAAGTCACACAAGAGAAGTAACAGAACGTCAGAGGGGGTAGGAATTGATAGATAAGATACTGGTGTCAAAATAAGCTGGTAAAAGTGGTGTGTAGAAGAACCAAACAGTGGCAGGAAAAAGAGTGAGTTGGGCTATGGAGGCGAGGGAAGTGATGAGGACAGTGAAATGTTCGTGCCCCGCCTCCAAAATGTGCACAAACTCCGAGATTGATGTTGCATGATGTCATCGCCATCATGATGTCATTACGCATGCATCATAAAAGTGGGTGGAGCCATAGATGAGAGAGGTAAAATACTTGGCAAGGAAGAAGGCAGAACTATAGGAACGTAGCATGAATTTGTAATGTAGGAAGTCAGGTGTGATGTGAGACTTCATTCAACAACGTTCTGCAGTATGGGAACTAAGCTGGAGATAGTGG